TCTAATTTTCAGCACATACATCACCTGCACATACAATCAAGCGACATTAGAAACTTAGTTACTCGGATAATCAACTCTCCGGTTCCAATCTAGCGATTACACCTTCTCTTGAACTCTCCCTTCAGAGTGAGTGAGGTAACTTTCCTTCACAGTACTTGCTTGCTATCAAATTCGCGTCGATATTCAGCCTTATAAGAAGTTACTGTGAAGGTGGAGTGTTTTTACTGCACTATCAACCAGCCCGACTTCAAGGTATGATCATCGTACAGCTCGCTCCAGCACCCTCTCGGAAGTGGCCTATCAAAGGGACTTTGACAAAGGATTGGAAAAGCACCATAGTAAGACACAAAAAAAAGAAAAGAAGGGAACATGCTTGTGCTAGCACTTGACTAATTCTTCGCAGTCATCCAAAGCTGACTAGAGCGCGCTCTGTGCCGTTGTATTGGTGCGAGCTACCCCGGTCCTAATTCAGTTCCAAGGCAACACTCCGGAAGTACCCTTCGCTTGAACACCTATAACCTCCTTGAGAGGAGAGATTTTGGAAAAAGGGAAAAGAGTTCTGTAAAACACTAGGTTGGCATTTATGGCTAAGTTTGAGCGATAAAACCTCCTTTTCAAGGGTTTTCCCCCGTTGCGACTCCCTTATGACATTTTAGGGTCATTTACGAGCTCTTACGCTTTGAAAAGCTATCAAAAAACAGTGCCGCAGTTTAGAAGATTTCTACTTTTTAGTAAGTTTTCACTTTTCTCGGAGGCCTGCTATTCAAACAAATTCTACGTTGTGATGTTACTGCAACACTTTTCGGACGACACAAAACCCCACCCCCCCCCCACCCAACGCAGTACCACTTTGGTTTAAGGACTTTGGAATGCTTATATAACACACATTATCGCCAAAGGTATCAGTGAATAGTTTCGCCGCCGATTGGCATCACCTCTGCAGTGAGCCATGCATACGGCTCCCATGCAGAGGTGTTGGGAAGGTGTAACTTCTAGACAGGGCTTACTCTGTGCAAGCAGTGGGCGGCCATCGCACTTCCTGTCATCACCCGTTCCCCACTGAGGTTGCAGGTTGCTTCTGAATTCAGATGTCTCTTCAAGGGTTCTGCACATGAAAAATCATGAATAAATCTTTCATCATGCAAGCTAGCTACACCTAAGCATCGTTGCTTCCCCACTTCTGGGGCTTACGACCCCCCCCACTGTGATTATTACAACGATGGCGTGCCCTGCTACGCACTCTTCCTCCCTCATCACTTGGTTTCGAGTCCGCCCACTCAGCGCTTTGCTTAGGAGCCTTAGTTAAGGTGTTTTGACGGTTGTCTTTAAGTTTTTTTTTCACTGGCAATTTAACCGATACTCTTCTATGATTAAACCCCTTGCTACAGTGGAATGTGTGACTGCTCTACTACCTCAAATCAACAGGACATAGAGAAATCTTATGCACATGACAAAAAATGAACGCAGAACAATAACAGCTAACAACAGTAACAATGACATCAACAACTTCGCACAAGAGCGCATCATGGGCATTCAATGCTGTTGGGGACCTTCCAAGTACCGTTAAAGAGTTCCCTTTTCTGCAGCAATACTATCGAATACGAGAGACGCCTACCGAGCAATTTCGAACAAAGTCGCGAGTACATGAAAGCAGTAAATATTCTATGTCAGAAAGCCAATTTTCAGGACGCACCCGAACTGATATAATGTCCCAACCTTATGTAATATTATACAGGCGAATAAGACTTATACAGGTGTACTACAACAGGCATATCTTTAAGTCCTCTAACAGTAATGAGAGCCAGTTCAAAAACAGTTATTCTCTGGGATAGATGGCAATGGTGGCAGGAAGACCACGGTTGTCTTCGACTATGCCCAGACCTATGTACA